ATTGTGAAAATATAGATCATTGTGAGATGAATATTTTAAAGATAAATATTTCAAAAATATGTTCACTGCCTTCATGATTCCCTTAACGTTCCGAAGTCTTTCTGAGTGGAGTCGTATTCAGTTTCGTTGAAATAATGAGTAATAAGTCCAGTAAGATACGAGTTTTCTTTCGCAAGAAAAACGGTCACACCTAACGATAGCTATTGACTGACACAATCGTCGTTTCAGCGATCAGAAACTTTCCTTATTCTCGAAAAAGTTCATCAATTCGTCTGGCATGAGAGTAAGAAGCGTTCGTTACCTTATTATAGCACATTCCTGCATCCAAATTTACATTATTGGAAGCTCTGCTAAAATGGCAGCTCATAGAAATACATGCTTGCCGAATGGGAAATAATTTTGTAAGTGAAAATCCCTTTCATTTATCCAGTATAAAAACGTTTGACGTGCACGTTTACCAATCAACGTGCAGAATTACCGACGACACTGTAACAATTCATTGGTTTATCATAAAGCACTTCATTATTGGAAAAAATAAAAATTTCACCTTCAAAACCACTTACTTGATTTGGAAAACAAGTTTGACACATAATGAATTGCTTTATGAAGCATCAATGTTTCACAGGGAGGAGATAATTTAGTAAGTGATTCAATTCATCATCATATCGTTAACAATTTCCGCGATTTTTCTTCCATCACTATGACGTTTGGAGGCATTTTTTCACTCATTAACGTAAACGTCTCAAAACCGCAGTTTGTTCGCTAAACACATCACGTTTGTATCACTGCTGATCANTCTGAAACTAGTGTTGATCGATAGGAAAATTTTGTTCGATGTTCTACTAATTGTAAGTGGAACTCGAGTAGCGCGATCGTTTTTTCTCTTATGGCTGAGCTCATTTCTCGGATATAAGCCGCATTTTCGTGATGTTTCTTTGATTGCTTAATGAGTTCCTCATTCGTTTACGCTGAGTGATTTATCATCTCAAGTGAGATATCACGTTGAATCTGTTTCTTTAGCATTGTTTTAGGAACAATTGCCGCTCAGTCGCTGTAATCCTCAGGCTTGATTGAGTCTGTGAAAATTTTCTGGATTCAGTGTGCGATTACGTCTGACTGCGATTCTGCAATTGTAACGATCACTAATTGATCTCGCAAAGGATTAAAATATCGTGGTGTGTTTCAGCTGCCCAATTCTGATCCTTCTGAAAAGTGGTCTTCGATTCGATGATGAAAAAGTTGACGGTACTATCGATTTTGGTGGTGGCTCTTTTGTTGGCCGACACAGCAGCGGCATCGCCGAGGCAATATTTTCAAAGAGTACTTTCATTAATTAACACCGTTTCCGATTGAAATGACTCGTGGTGGGAACTGATAGTGAGATGGTAGCCAATCCGAGAGTTTTATTATGAGGAGGATAACATTTTCGAAATTTTCGAATTTCGCTGGTGTTACTGATAGGAGAGAAATGTTGGAAAGTTGTTCGGATTGACCAAATTGATCAAACAGTGGATGATCATGGGTTTTAGTATCAGAATTATGATAGTGGATGGATCTGGGTGCTTCCAATCAACAATATAAACATCCAATTCTGTTGCATATGTTGAAGAGGCGATTGTGGATGGTAAAAAGATCATGGACTAATAAAAATNTTGTTTGCGACCTTATGATTTTGCAGGATTCGCTTTAAGCGTCAATTCGGGAGTGGCGGTTTGCTGAACTTCTTCGGCGACGACATATTCGGAGGTACACCCATGGGAAGTGGCTATCGTAGATTCCTCGGCTGGGGCCGTCCTCGATACGATCGATACGGTGGAGGTGAGGGTAATAACTATCAAGGCACCGATATCGGCACAATGAATGAGTACAATCTCAATCTCTAAGTTGCAACACCCGACAGTATTTGAGGAGCATCATGCTCTATTTGAGGATTTACTCTGCTTCTGAAGTTTTCATATTTTTGTCATGTGACAAAACTTTTGTAATTCCGAAATAAGTGCACTGTGCAAATATTGGAAATAATAAATGTTCTCACTGAAGAGGTGTGTTTTATCATCGAGTTTTGTAAGAATATGCTGACATCGCTTCGATTGTTCATCATTCACTATGACTGATCATTTCAACGACAAAGCTAATGATACAGTAAAATCCCATCTGTCCGTTCAAGTGTAATTTATATAGAATCTCCGTAAGCGGCCCAAATTTTTGGATGAGTTTTTTTTTCAAATGAAACTTCGATACTCTTACTATTAGTCAACTGAGATTGTGCCACTTGTAAGGATGAGTGCATATAGCACGATCCATTGGTTAATGATGTTATGCAGCGATTCACAAGAAATGTTTCCGTAAGGCTCAAGTATTTTGTGGTAACAACCGAACGAAATTCATTCGTCAGCAAAATACAACATGGCAAACCGGCTCGTTAACAAATTTCTGATTGGGTTCGCGAAAAAGTTTCGCCTGTCAAACGAATAAACAATGATATCTCGAAAAAACGACACTTTGCCTGTTTCACGAACGAGTTCTTCTTTCGATTGGAACATTCAACGAATGAATCCGAGCGACCTATCACTAGTGAACTCAGCCTTGAAGTGATGATTTCATGAATATATTCCAGTGCTTGAACCGCGATTACAAAAAAAAACATCCAAATGTAAGAACGTGGAGAAGACGGATGTTCGCATATCCTTTTTTTCGAACATTTACGGAAGAACTGATGACGATAATGACGATAAGTTTGAAAAGTCTGAAAAAGTCACTCTCGAGGAATACGGTTTCCCGAACAATTTGATGAACAAATCATTATTTGACAGATCATAAACGAACAATTGTTATTTCGAATATTTCTTTGGCAATGAGAAGCAGAGAAGGTCGGTTACTCATGCAAAACATATCTTATGGTAGGCAAAACACTGCAGAAACTTATCAGTTTCATGCATTTTCCTGCTCGCTTCGCTAATAGGTTCAGGAGTACCTCACGAATCTTTTGCTGTTTCAATAAGCATGTCCTATTCATACGCTTAATTTCATTCGTGATTGTCTTGAGAATTTCGACTTCTTGCAGTGCCTACATCACATCATGCTTTTAAATATATATCAACAAATATTATGTATCATTACTGGTAAAAATATTGTTATGGGTATTGTCAGTCATGCCGTCGCTATCCCCGCTCCATCAAAGCAACAACACTGACGTCAAAGCACGTCCAAAAAAGCGATCTAACCTGAACAATTACACACTAAAGCAAGAGCACTCAGCGAATTTTAGTCATCATCGGCCACAAAAAATCACTATAATCAACAACAATTCACCAACGCAATCAGGTTTTTAATAGCATGAATCTCGGAACATAAGCAAGTATAATAAATGATCCAACATTGTCGACTGGAAATGACGATAAACTGCAGTGTGTGTTCAGCCTTAGTGCACAACATTCATTCTGTACGTTTCGTCAAATCACCGTCTCATCAACACATTTTGCGTTGATAAGACGTCGCTATCACTTACCATAACTTCACTTGATTCACTCGACTCTATCTGAAGCATACGAGTGTGACTCTGAACCACTCCAAGCTATCAAGAAATCATATGTTGTAAAGATGTCCTCTTAGTGGTTCAATGACTCAGTCGTCATATGTAGTCCACATGAATGACACTTGTGGCATGACCAGTGTTCATTTCCTCCTTATGGTTGTGATGTTCGCTCATAGTGGTGGCACATGAATTTTGATAGTTTGAAAACATTCAACGAAATTGATCTTCTGATTGATCTTATGACTACTGCAATCATAATTGTTGAATCGATTCTATTCTGGTTTCAGACGGTCACTTGAATAATTCTGTGAAATGCTTAAACGACTCAACGTCATCATGTACGTCGTCTGTCTGCTTAACGTCGTTCAATTTTGTATGCATAATTTAGCAAATGTAATTTCAGTTCAACTTCTTGGCAATAATGAATGCACGAGTGTTAGCTGCCACGTTTGTGCTGTTGCTTGCGCTGTACGATATCCGAGCAGCTGCAAATCCACTTACTTCCAACAACGCGGAACAGTAAGCTGATTAAGCCCTTTCCATTTCAGAATTTTGCCTAGCTCACTTATTTTTCACTAATTGTAAGTACTGATTACGTGAATAACCAACCCGAACCTCACCGGTATTTTTTTTTTGAGTTTCTATCCAGGCGTAAAGAACGGCTATGAGGGCGCTAATACCAGGACACAATTAGGAGGTACACCGCATGATAAATCGAGCAGTTTGGTGGTGAACAGCTTAATGAATGGCCATTTCAGCATCCGGATCAAACGACAATGGGGATACGGTATGTTCGGAGGTGGTTACGGTATGGGTATGGGTTGGGGAGGTGGATACGGTATGGGTGGCGGTGTTGGCAACAATTACGGTGGTACTGACATCGGCCAACTTTACGATTATAACTTGAATCTTTGAATTGAATGAAAACTGCAAAATCGTAACGGAACTTAAACTGAAGGATCGTTGAATATTAATGTGTATTCAGGAAGATAGCATCGACAAACAACTCTAAGCTTTTTCTTTTATTTAACGCGTTATTCTAAGGTATTGCTGCAGATTTCGACGGTTACTTCTTGGGAAAATTTGTGCTAAAATGATATTTTACTATATTTTTGTGAATTAGTTTATTACAATTAGCTTATTGAAATGTTTCATGCGATGCACTGAAAAAGTTTCATGTTTTGTGATATCACTGATACTATGCGGTGGAATAAAAACATGAAGATAACGATGTTTCTTGCCTTTTTCATATTTGTTGAATTCATGGTTCTATAATGAAATGAAATAATCCCTGTGTAATAGTGAGTGAATGCTATCCAGTGAAAAGAATTCGGTGAAACAATACTCTGTATATTGCTCAAAAACATGCAACGATAGAACGTAGAGCAATTGTGACTTTGCCGGCGAGTAATGCTTGCTGAACTGCAATGCATTTAGCAAGATCTTGACGGTTACGAAACATCATATGCAAACTAGCATTCAACTTTTAATTTAGGTATGCATCTCAATGTTTCACTTGTTTGACGACTGCTGTGTGAATGTGATTTAGCGCAGAGACATCATCCATCAGTTAAATGCATTTTGCATGCAGAACGATACAAAGAAAAGAACAGAATCAAACTGGCGAAAGAGAAAAATGACAGAGAAGCATGAAAAGACAGCAAATTGTTCAGAAAGAAAAATCCGGAGAATATCATTTCATCAACAATAAAAATTCCTTTCAATCGTTCAGATTAATCAGCCGCGAAAACGACTGCAGGTTGATGAAGGTACATTTACAATTGCAGCAAAAGCTCATCAACCATTATATCCTGCTCAAGAGCTCCATTATCGTTTCGATCAGCGGTTTGCGTCTCTTGATCATCGATGTTACCTTCATAAACTGATTGTGGAAGTGTTGCCGAATTATGGAAGTAGTAAAAAATATGGAGGAAAATGAATGTAAATGTATGAAACGGTGAAAAATGAAAGTGTGTTCTCCTCAAAACGATTTCTATATTTAGTAAAATAAGTGACTGCTACAAGTTATGTAAGAAACATAGGAGAATTATCACTCAAAGCTTTTTTGTCAACAGACTAGAATTATGGAACAAACTGAACTTGGAAATAAAAGAGAATTTCATAGCTGCCGTTAGCGTGCCTAGTACCTTTGACATATGGTCATCTGAAGATTCGTCAAACATCCACGGTTGTTCGATCAGTTCTTGTCTGTACTGCATTAACGCTTCAAGAACATTTTCTTCCGGAATCAAAGTGTGATTGAATGCTGCATCTAATTTTAATGTATGTGTCACATGCGTTAGAGCTGATAGCAATTTCATTATAAACGCATTGGTAGAGTTGATTGGAAATTGTTTTTGATCATCGTGCGCAGGTAAAGTGTTTGTCAGCACCCCGAGAGTTGCATTGGAGAATTCGATCAAAACCTTTGCCTGTTCTTCAAGTCGAACAGAGGGAAA